TCATTTTTGAATGAGTCTAGTGACCTCCAGCATCCTTCCCAGTAATCTGTTCCATTTGTTTATTATTATTCCTATAAATAAATTCTTTCTGCCATCTGTCCTAAACTTCCCCTTCACAACTTGAAACCTCTTGAACTATTGCCTTTGCATATCTGACAATATAGTTTGGGCTTTATTTCTTTTATTCCTATTAAGGATCTTAAGGTTCGCATCTGATAAATATTCTTTTGAGGCTGAAAAGGCCTTATTCAATCATTCTTCAAATTTGATGTAAAGTGGAGTGACTGTGGGTGAACACGGTCAGCTGGCTGCGTACAGCAATGTCCCACAAACAGCCTTGGAGCAAGTGACCCATTTTATTTGGTGGATTGTTGGCCAGGACACCAGGAGAAACTCCCTTCTCTTTTCGAATTGTGCCATGGGATCTTTAACATCCATCTGGATGGGGTCTTGGTTTAAAGTCTCATCCGAAAGATGGATTTGGCTGTATACTTCCTCCAATTAGTGAATATAAGGATTTATTATAATAATCCTTGCATTTGATACAACGCCTTATCTCATCGTCAAGACGACTTAAAGCACTTCACAGAATTGTTATTGTGCAGTGTAGTGAGGGCCTGAAGTTGCCATTAGAATTGCTAGCATGTTTGTGCCACTTCATAGTGTACCAGCTTAACTCACTAAACAAAATCCCTCCTTAAACAGGTATTTGACGAAGTGCTGCTTAAATAATATTATCCTTGCATTTGATAGAGCGCCTTATCATGTCTTCGAGAAGTCTCAGAGCGCTTCACAGAATATACTGTAAAGTGAATTGACTATATATTTTGTGGGCGAAACGCTACAGCCAACAGTGTCTCACAAACAGTTGTGGATTGAGTGACCATATTATTTTTTAAGGGATTATTACCCTCCAAAAAGCGATCTGCCAATCAACTAACAACCGGGTTCCTATTTACTGCTAGATAAACAGAGGCATAATAATAATAATCCTTGCATTTGATATAGCGCTTTTCACGTCAGGAGGATGTCCCAAAGCGCTTCACAGAACACACTGTAAAGTGAATTGACTGTATATTTGTGGGCGAACGCGGCAGCCAATTGCGCACAGCAATGACCCACAAACAGTCGTAGATTGAAAATGACCAAGTTATTATTGTTTTTGGTTTTTGGAGGGATTATTATTAGGTGTGTGGAGTAAGGAAACTTGCCCAAGGTTTCGCTCTGCCTGGAATTGAACTCAGGTCTCTCACTCACAAAGCGAGTGCTCTAACCACTGAGCTACAGGACTCCACAAATGTCGAGTAAGGAAACTTGACCAACGTTTCGTCCTGCCTGGGAATCAAACTCAGATCCTCTCGCTTGCGAGGCGAGTGCTCTAACCTCTGAGCTACAGGACTCCACACCATGCCATGTTCTGTGCCCACCAAATTCAAGCAGATTCTGGTCCAATCATTGTGCTGACATTGTGGGTGGTGGGGTAGGAAGAGTGGACCAGTCAGTAACTATTGATTGCCCTTGACCACAACTTTTGAAACTGGATAATTACCAACAGCAATCATGTGGCGAATCAAAAACATTTCAGACTTGAGGCAACAAAACAAATCACACACTAGGATCCACCAAGAGCAAGTATTGACACAGCTGCGTATGGTCTTGTTGGTGAAAGCAAAATCAATCTTTTAATCTGGGAAAAAGTGTACAGTGGCTGTGACTGTATGTGTTTGAAAGAGAGTTAAACAAAGGGTTCTTTGGGTGGCCAAGATCTAAGCGATTGTGTCCAAGGATGTTCCCTTGTGCTTGTTATTTTTCTTAAGTGTTGCAACAGTTTTGCTTGGGATTGATTGATCTTTATAAATGAAGTACTGTAACTTCTTCTGATCCAAGTCTTTCTGTTTTGTTTCCGAAAATCTCCCAAATACAATTGGTCACTCACTCACATGGCTGTTTATGGGACATTGCTGCGCGTGACTAGCTGCTATGTTCGTGCACAAATACTCTCTCTCTACTTTACAGTACTTCCTGATTACAAACTCTTTTCAGCCTTACGAGCATGATAGGACCTGTGAATCTGTCAGAAGACCTGTCAGAGTCTCTGGCACAGACCTTCAGCTGACTAGAAATGTGAACAAACTGGAAATGTTAACAATGTTTGCAATAATACAATGCAAATTAAGTGTTTGATGTATCTAAACATGAGATTTGTAGGTAAGGCTTTGTTTTCGCTGTATGGATTAAAACAAACCGACTCCAATAGAGATTCCGATCATCTTGGCACACAAGGACTGCTATTCTGCCAACCTTAATTTTGTTGAAGTATTGTGATGTTGTCCTTGAAGGGGTTATCATGACGATGAATGTTTAATGAACCATTTCCTAACACCCCTTCACCAATTGTTGGTGTCACAATAACATTTAAAATCTGGAGGAAAACTACACAAAAAATCTTCTAGCAATTATAGATGCCTTCCCCCTTATATAGGAACTTGTTTAGATGAAAAATTTGAGGCAAATTATCAAGTACTATTAAGATTGTTTAGTAATTGTAGCAGCAGAATCCATATTGTATTAATGGGAGCTTGCCCCTGCTATTGCCTTGTGGCACAGAACTATATCAGTGTTGATGGGAGGGAAGATAACATTTTCAACAGGAAATATGCTAACTGAATGTCAGGAGATAGAGTGCTATAGTGAGGTGATGCCAGCATAATATTCAAATGTACTTGTCTCTGCAGCTCTTGTGTCTACTCAGGTATCTAAACTGATGTAATAAAATAATAGAATTGCTGAAACACACTGCATTTTGTGATGAGCGAATAATAATGCTAATCTTTGCATTTTGATCATAATACCTTGTCAATCATTTCAAAGTATTTCTTCACATGATGTAATTGGGACTGCAGCCAAGTTTTGAAAATGTTAACTGAGTAAAAGTGTTAGTTTACATAACCAATCTTTGTGGATTTGCTCATTTTATTTAGATGTCAGACATTCAAACACATTCAAATACATTGTTCAGATGAAAACAGGAAATGACTTAGCTGTACTACTTATTTTAGACAGGCTTTCTCTGGTACTTCAAGTGACACTCAAAATCAGTGTTTACCTTTTTACAGCAGTAGGTGGCGGACTTGCATAGGGAAAAAGTTTTTTTGCTTTGCAAAATGATTGTACAGTCCATTTTATGAGTGAAGTAGATGACGACATAACATTTTGTATGTGTAGTGATCCAAATCTAGATGTGTACCTTTAGTGTGAACAAACACTGACATATTGTGAACTATTGTAAAGAAAGTCTGAAGATGACCAGCAAAGGGGCAAGATATTCCGCTTGTGACTTTAATGATACTTGTTTTAAATTGTATAAGTACACAGAGACAAAGTCACTATGTTTGGTAGCAAACAAAATATCGGCTCAAATGGATCAAGAACATGTACAGGGACATGTCAATAAGCATTAGTCATGTTTGTAGAGTTTTGGACTGGGTAAAGCCAGGCAAATATAATTCTGCATTTGGAATGTTTGCTTCCATAGAAATGTTAATTGTGAGAAGGTTTCCGATTCATGAATCTACACATCTAAAATAAGTAGTACAGCTTAGTCATTTACTGTTTTGCTGAAAACTGATCAGTTACGGTTATTGGTTTAACTTGACAGAAATCAGGGAATTTCCTGCTATGTAGTTTATAGGAGTAAGATAAGGCTAGAAAAAACCCAATTACAATCTTCGTCAAACATTTATGCTGATGCAGGGCTAGAATTGTTGCCAAGTAAAATAAATGATGCAAATAAAATTTACCCAAAGAGCTTTGATAATGTTTGTGAAGTAGCATCTCGAGTTACTGCACCATTGATGTCCCCAGAATAGATCTGGCTTCAACTTTGGTTATTTTGTTTCACCTCTCACTGAAACAAGGGTTTTATTCTCTTCTCTAAATGTAACAAATCTTTCCACGGGCAGTTATAATGGAATTTTCTATTATAATCACACATTGCAAAATTTGCTGCACGTAACAAATGGAGCAGAATAACCCCTAAGTTGTTTTAATAAAGAAAGCCGCAGGACTGGCTTTAGTAATGATTGCTATTGAAGTTTTATTACAGGACCTTTCAGACCATGGTTTTGTGAGCTGACACAGTTTTTGCTGTATTCTATAACCATGGAGTTCTATGGTTCTAAGCTTTGTTGTTTGATAGTGCCCATAGTGCACAGCAGTGGGACATTGCAAGTAAAAATGAGGAGAGAGATCAGAGAATATTGCGGCTTACTTATCTGGGGATGGAGGCGTTCATCAAACTTGCCTCTGGGCTGCAACCAACTGTAATTGTCTTGTACAAAAGAATAAAGATATATTTGCAGTCTCAACATGACATATTCAGAGAGTTGTACACAAAGACAGAAACAGCTGGTTGCATGTCCTGCACAAGGCTATGTGTTATACAATAACTTTGTGCTAAGAGTCTGAAGCTAAAGACAGACTGTCTGGTTAGCTGAAATGAGAAACCAGTTCTTAGTAATCACTGAGCATTGCTCATAAAGAAATCTAATCTGCTGTTACATTAACCATACTTGGTCTATAGTAAACTCCTGATAACTTGACCCTGTTTTAACTTGTTGCAACCACTTAAGTCACCATACAGCCAATATCCTGGCCACACTTATTTATGTATTTATACATATGCCTAACTCGCCACTCCGGATAACTCGTCACTGAGCCCTTTCCCCTTAGGGTGATGAGTTATCAGGAGTTTACTGTACATTATGGAATTCTGCACAGTAGGGTGGGATAAAGAATTCAACTACGAGCCAGATTGCACAATGGTTGACGATGCAGGAAGCAAGAATGGGATTTAGCAACAACAACGTTATTTCTATCAGAGATGTTCAGATCAAGCATTAATCTTTTCTCTTTCAGCCTTTTTTTGTCTGTTTTCTCTTTAGATTTGCACTTTTTTTATATATCTGCGGATCTGACTGTTTTGCTTCTCATCCACTCAGGATCCTGGGTCGAGTTGCACTACAGCAGCAACGGTAACAATGGGAGCAGTACACAGAACGGAGGGCATGAGCAGATCCCAGCATCCACCTCGATCCTGAATGGTGAAATGGAAAAGATACTGCTTGATGCACAGCATGAATCAGGACGAACTAGCTCCAGAGGAAGCTCTCACTGTGACAGGTACTTGCAAAATGTAGTTGAGTTGCAAGAAACCGTACAGAGGATTAATTCTCTTTTTAAGCACTTGTGGTTGCAGAGAATGACATGGTCCAGCCATCCTCGGTCTTCAGCAGAATCTTCTGGGAAGTTTTGAGCAGCTTGGCTGAAAGTTCCACCAGGTCTTGACCTATAATACCATTTTGTTTTAATTTAAGGTCACGCAGAACTGTGGAAAATGCTAAAATTCAGTTTTAGTTAGTCGTTACCTCATATACAGTGTTGCCATCCTTCTTAATTCACCCGATTCCCAGCTGTAGCTTGCAGTTACATGGGCAATGTTAGGTCAGAGCTCACTATGGGTCAATTATAAAAATAATTTGTTCAAGTTTCATTCGCAAACAAGAGATTTTTTTTGGAGCGACTTCCTGGAATTAATGACTCTGCACTATTGTGGAATGTGTTTGTCTTTGGTTTCATGTGCACAAGGAGTCCTCCTTAGTCAGGACTCTATGCATCAGACAGCTTTATACAGACTTCTGATGCTGGGAGCAAGATATATTTATGGGTTTGGTGTATCTGATCCAGAAATAATGATTCTGACATTGTTTGCTCTGGATAAACCTGGATAAACTCTCTATTGTTTAGTTCATAGCTACGTAAATTATTTTCTCATCACTTTAAGATCTACATGAGCTATAATTTTATGGTACAGTGAAGGTGTGGATTGCATAATCACATACCTTGTAATTCACCACATGATTAAGGTCTTGATTTTAGTAGGAGTTGAACACGGAAACAATAAGGTGAAGAGAAGCGTTAATCCTGAAAGAGAATGAGAGTGAAGCTCGAGTCGTTGTGGCTGTTATCTACAATTTAAAAAAAAATCATAGCCTTATGTTTACTCTGCCATTGTTCTAATGCAATCTCAGTGAAACAGAAACAAGGTGATGTCAGTGGAGCTAAAATTACGCCCATGATGAGAAGATTTTACGGTTTTGATATCAGTGAACAGCAATATGGTTACAAGGAGCACAGGGTATTATAAAGGAATTTTTCTTTTTAGTGTTAAGCAGAACTGCGAGCAGATTAAGGGCTCACTATGCAGTTTGATCTGAGTCCAGGGTCCCCATTAGTAGTTTTAAACCACGCAGGACAGTTTATCTTTGCATAGTTTCATATTGCAGGACCCAATACATCATATTTAAAGTAGTTTCAAAATCTGTTTGGTTGCTCTAATTAAACTGGTCAAATTCTGTTCCAATATCTACCTGTAAAATATCTACATTGTTTCAAGACACTTTCTAATGGTTTCCCTTGGTTCTTTGATACAGCCCTCCCCGCTCCTTGACTCCTCAACAACCTTGTCGTGGTTCAGATGTGGACGTGCAGAGCAATGGAGAAAAAAACAGTTCGCAAGTAAGAAGAATTACTGAAAAATTGTTGTGTTTAGACAAGACATAGTTGACCTTGTTTCTCTTAAGAACTGTATTTCAGTGGAGATGGAGTGCTTGAAATTTCATTTAAGGGTCTAAAATCTGAAGCCGTTCTCTTAACTGCACCTTCTGGTTTGTGGATATTGAATCATGAATTTTGCATTCCAATATCGGTAACCAGGCGTTGAGGTTAGCGACTTGAATAGAGTTTGCACATATAACATTTGAACCACTTGTGAGGTCAGTAAACTGACAGTTACGTTTTTTAAATCTTTATTTTGAACGGGGATCATTCTGTTGGAACTGTTTTAATTAATTGACGTTGCATATTCCTGCTGGAGAATATTTGACAAATTTGTTTCCTCTGATTAGTCTGAAGAAGATTATCTTGAGAGAAGACGAGAAGTTGAAAACATGATGAAGAAAAATGCTGACTGGATATGGGATTGGTCAAGCAGACCTGAAAACATCCCCCCTAAGTAAGTACAGACTTTGCTTATCATCTAGACTAGAGTTAGCCATTTTGCTTTCTATTGATCAGTGCCGCATCAGCTAAGTGTTTTCTTTTGAAACAGGGAATTCCAGTTTAAACACCGTAAACGTTCTGCCACTTTGAGTATAAGGAATACAGGAGTCATGAAGAAAGGTGGTATTTTCTCAGCTGAATTTCTGAAAGTCTTTCTGCCGTCCCTTCTTATCTCCCACATACTGGCTGTGGGTTTGGGGTAAGTGATGACTAAACTATATATGATGACTGCACTGTCTTTTCAGAAAAATAATTATTTAAACATTGTTACGTTATTAAATGTTCCGGGACGCTACCCTGCATGAAGGGAGCTATACAAATGCAAGTTGTTATTGTTAGATTACTGTTGAATTAGTCAGCTGAGTTAACAAAAATAAATGGAGTGATAATTTCAAACTTTTCAATTCATATGTGAAAAGTTTCTGTTTTTGCAAAGGACAGTTGGATGTATGAGCAACTTCATCTTAGTTACATTTTAACTTATTTACAAATATTCAAGGTTCACACCTGCACACCAAGGGGATTCTGTCAGCATTGGTTACCTTTCTACTGAACCCTTTGAGAAGGAAAAAAGCCTCTCTCTACCACATCTCTCAAATAATACATGAGATTTATTTGAAATTTCCATCTTTCTTCAAATGCCCTTTGATATGTATGTCTGTATGTCTTTGTTTTGTTCTGTGCCTGGCAACATCCACAGTATGCTCTTCACCATGTGATGTCAGGAAAAATATATTATGGTGCAAAACACTTTGGGATAGATTGTATTTCTTTCTTGCATTAGGTCCTCAAAGTAAACATGTTTTAAGAGGTGCAGTCTATTTTTTTTTCTTTTTTTGGTGTAGCATTTTGAAGGGAAAAAGTGTAATTAACAAAAAACTAATTCATGAGATGATGTATACATTTACTTCATTCTCCCCCCAAAAGTCTCAAAAACACTTTTTAGTGATTACACATCTTTATGACTGAAGAAGTGGCTCCCATTAAATTTTGTGTTTATACAGTCCTTCCTATCTAGACGAATCTATCCGAATTAATCTACCATTCAATTGTATGAATACTAAATTTGGTCTGTTTTTGGTGAATTTGGATGAGGGGATGATATTGGCCAAGACACCAGGAGAACTCCCTGCTCATCTTTGAAATAGTATCTTGGGATCTTTAACTTCTAAATTGAGCAGACAGGACTCAGTTTAGCAACTCAATCAAAGGATGGCACCTCAAACAATGCAGCATTCCCTCAATATCACACAGAGTGTCAGTGTAGATTATGAACTCAAACCATGATGTGGAGCTCTAACCCAGAGAGGTGGTGTTGCAGTCAAAGAGAATTAACCTACATAAGTGATTTGTACAAGTATTTTGAAATGTTGTCATCAAAAGCTTAACTTGTGCTTCTGTAGCTCCTTTCACATAGGATAACGTGTCAAAGTGCTTTACAGAGATAGGCAGGAACATATGTCAATATACATAAGTACAAAGCCATACAATGCTGTATCTGAGTTACCAAGTTAGAGTTGTTATTAAAATACTCTATCTAATATTCTAGATTAAAATATTAAAAGCAACCTTTAGTTATGCGATCGTAACTTGTGCTAAAATGAATTGGTTCTAAACTGTATTTCTTTTAACAAAAGATTCTTCTTTTTAGAATTTATATAGGCAGACGCATTAGCACCCCATCTAGTACTGTCTGAAGGAACGTCGTTGGACACATACAGGTACAGCATTCAGCGGGTCCTGTGAAGAATTCTTTGAGAGGCAGCCACAGGCTATAGTATTGGTCTATATTCCGGTAGATGCTGTTTTATTGTTTAATTATAACACTAGAGAGTATGTCATAGTTGTTCACCTGCTGCCTCCTTGAAAAATGTATTGAATAAACTCAAAAACATTTGCATGTAGCACAGCCCTGAGGCAGAACAGGATTTGATTTCACAGAAATCTTTTCATAAAGGAATGAACTGTGGTGCTGTGGATTTAATATTCCTAATGTATAATATAAAAGCTGACCTGTTTGATTTAAGAGCCAGCAGTATAGCATATTTTCACAATATCTCAAAAGTATTGTAGAAGGTGGACAAACTTAATTCATTTTAATTAATGGATTTGTGTGCACTGCTCACATTGGTTTATAAAACTAACAAATTAACTGCTAAATAAAAATGTGATTGTTTGAGATTTGTATTTGCTACCAAAGCAAAAATACACAAAATTATGAATAGCAAGAATCAACAAAGCAAGAAGTGTATTGTTTATTTTGTCATTGCTAATGTGACAATAGTCAAATATGTACAACCAAAGGTTTATGTGATTAAACGAATAACATTGTAATCTTGTTCAGAATTCAGTACCACAGATTTGAGTTTTTACATCTCTTATGGAAATGTTATAAAACAGAGCATGATAGATGTTTTTGAGAAAGATAACTTTTTTAAAGGGAGAAGAATGGCTTTTAAATCAATTTCCCCTACAAAACAATCTGTAACTAACAATTGCAAAGGTTTTGCTTCCAGATTTATAAATATTGAGAATTGCACTGCCTTAAGCATAAGTCAGATTTCAATATGCAGAACATGCATAATATGCACTTTTCCGTGACTGCACTGGATTTCAATGATGAACTGTCTCCGTGATAAACCACAAGAAAGCAATACATCCAAGACTTGACTGCATTTGTTTTAATGTACTTGATTATATATGAATATTTAAAAATAAATTAGCCCAATTTATGTGTACCTTATATTGCTGAAATGCTTGTTTAGAAATGGTCTTCATCTAAGAAGCCAAGTTAGAACAGATGTTTCATGCAGTTGTTAAAAGTCTGAGAGCCGACTTGTGTAATAGTGTCAAATTTTGCTGTATGCTTCGTGTTTGCAATCAGAATCAAACTGTTTAATTTGTTTTGAAAATCTGTGAAGTAAAAATTAAAGTCTTGTATTATCATTAAATTCCATATGGTGGATCCTCTTGATGTTCTTAATCATTATCTATGCATTACGTTCTAGGTGTGCTATAGGAACTTTAAAATAAATGCTGTACATACAGTCTTTATAATCTACTTCTTTGAAAGGGACTTATTGCTGAGTGTACATTTGCCTTGTTGACACTGTTCCCTTTTGCTAATGATACAACTGCCACAGACTGGCGAGCTCTCCGTGTGATAAGCAGACAGTGACTAATCATCGAAAGCGGCTCTGGACAGAATTGGACAGCGCAGATAAATTGTACATTAACTTCAGCACAGAGAACAGAAGATTCTTGAAAAAACATTCTTCAAACAACTTCACCATGAGAATTCCCACCCATGTGTTAATTCTAAAAACTTCCTCCAGTTCTAAAAATGCAAGAGCATTACCTAGTAGTTATTATTTGATTTACACTGGAGCACAACAACAACAACAAGATTCCATTTATAGAGCGCCTTTCACGTCGGGAGGATGTCACAAATGATAACAATGCCTAGAAAACTGGTGTGAATCTTCAAGAAAGCTCATCAGTCTTATTTGTATCTGTTTGTAGCTTCAATGATCCACAAAAGCTACAGAGACATTTGAACTCTTGCTTTTAGACTCAATTCCAAAACTGCACCAATGATTAATTTGGATAGGAATGCCTTTGCATGTCAGATTTTATCCATGGAGGTTCAGAAAACATATCCAGGTGTTCAGTACAAGATCATGATTGGAGCACAAAAATTAACTCCTTGAAGTGGTCCTGCATGATTTTGCACAAAACCCAAAAGCCACAGCACCTAATTTACTCTTCTGTCACAAAGTATATATACACGGAATAGCATCAGTGCAGCTTCACACACCTATCTTCTTTATGAATAATCAGACAGAATCATCATCTGGTGTTCTTTAATCAAGTACATTTATTGGAACTTTGTGATGGACATTCAGAGAGTGGTGACAAAGTGATTGAAAGCTCACCCACACTGATCGTGATGTAGAGCTGGCAGGGACATGAAGGAGGCTTGTATTTGCTGACCGGAGGGAGCGGTCAGGGTAGTAGGTCACAGAGGTCGGGTGGGTGAGGCCATGGAAGCATTTGAAAGTGAGGATTTGGTCCACTTCAATTTGATCCACAGGGAGACAGGGAGCCAAGTGAGAGTGAGGATGATGGGCTTGTAGAGTTTGGTGTGTAATGGGGCCTGGGCTATAAACTGAAGGTCTTACCTGATTTCCCCCTATTTCAACTCGATTTGATAAGATAACATATTTCAGATACAAAATGAAAGTTTGTGAAATCTGATATTTATGACTAAAAGTGATTGACAATTGTAGCCAAATTCATTAGGAGGGAGAGGCTCTGAACTGCCAATTTGGATGCTGGCCCCCCAAATTAAATAGTATGTCTTGAATAGTCAAAATTTATATTTATTTATTTAAAATACTTTGTTGATTGACTGGGAGCTGAACTGAATCTTTATGGAGCTGCTTTAGGACACCACAGTTGAAAAGTCATATTGTCATTTCACTATCAAAACCCTGTGGCCCTCTTTGAATTCAGTAAAATAAAGTTCAGCAGAACTTAACTGTGGCTGTATCATGATGGGATGCACAAGGTCAGTGTTAGAAAATACATACTTTTGAAGTGCTTAATTTTCCAAATGCCGTTTTCTGGCATTTTCTTTGAAGAAGGATCAGGGAGAAAGAACCATCAAACCAGTGTGTGAATTGGTTTCTACTGCTGAAAGGACTAGACTGGGGGCAATAATGTAATTTCTTGCATGGCTGGCCACAGCTCAGAGGAACATTGAAGGGTAATGTACACAAGCTATTTTTGTATGAGCTAAATTAACCTTTCGCTTGCTGGGCAAAGGGCCAAAGAGGCAAGGCGGTTTCTATTTTTTATCTCAGCTGTAGATCAAATAAACTGTACAAGAGCTGTCTGAATGTCTCCTCCAGAATTTTTTTTATAAAACACTGATTAAATGCGTCACAGAACCAAGTCAATAATGAACGATTCTTCTATATTTAAATCACAATGTTACCAGGAGTCAAACTAAGCAAACGTTCATGTCTAGATCTTAAGCAAAGGTGAAGTTCCATGTTAACTGATCTGCGTTCAACTGAGGACAATGGTATCTCATGTGAAGGATCAAAGCAATTATAGCAATTACAGGAGAGTTATGTGTTAAAAGCTGGAGATGTTATTTGGCAAATGTAAATACTGTACAGTACCATGCAGACTGCTAAATTCAGCTCATGAAAGTTTTTTTNGCATAATTATATATTTCACAATTACCCCCTGTGATTCATCAAATTAAACTTTGTAAAAGAGTACATACAAACCTGAACAAGGGCTGTCTCTGTGATTGGAAGAGAAATATTTACAATGGCCACCAGATGGAGCATTTTTTAGAACAAATGTTACATTTTGGAATTGTAATTTTAAAGTTCTTGGATCATTAAATGGAAATATAAACAGATGGCTCTGAATAGCAGCAGATTTTGTATGGAAATAATGGCAGTTATCATTGCAGGCTTGAAACCCACTAATATTTCGCCCACAAATATACAGTCAATTCACTTTACAGTATATTCTGTTAAGCGCTTTGAGACGTCTAGAAGACGTGAAAATCGCTATATCAAATGCAAGGATTATTATTATCTTTATTATTATTTGAAAAGAGAAGTGTATTTCTCCCAGTGAACTGGCCAATGATCCTTGCCAAAAATAAAATATGATGGGAATGCAGCCAATTCATTCATAGCTGTTTGTGGGACATTGCTGTTCGCAAATTGGCCGTTGTGTTCGCCCTCAAAATTTCCACACAGTCACACCACTTTATGGTATATTCCTGTGAAGCCATTTGAGATGTCTCGATGATGCAATAAGGCGCCATATGAAATGCGAATTTATTATTATTTATAATGGACTAATTATATAGGACTAATATGAGTCCTAAAATGCCTTATTTTGGAAACGCCTTTGCAAGATTACGTGTATCCTCCCATTAATACTTTTGGATTGACTGTGTATTTTGTGGTGACACACGGCAGCCAGTTTGCACTCAGCAATATCCCACACACAGACATGGTGTGAGTGACCAATTTTATTTGGAGGATTTGTCAGTCAGCACAGCAGGAGAAACTCCCTTTTCTTTTCGAATAGTGCCAAGAGATCTTTAACCTGAATAGGCAGATCGGACTTTGCTTTAACATCTCATCCAAAGCACAGTTGTCACATGACTTCACATGGTACACTATCTTCTCTTGTGTGCTCTTACAACTGCCGGATGGGCCTATGTGGGTCAAATGTTCAATTATGTTCAAATGCATACAGGTGCCTTTAATTATACAATTAACTACCAATGAAATTACTTTTTCAATGGCTAATTTAATAATTAAAGGCACCTTATGCCTTTGCATTTGAATCTGGTTATCCCATGGGCTATCAGCCCACCTTTATTTTATATCCCTTAATCCCATCTATCAACATCCATAATCTCAAATTTTTCAGTTGACTGATACAGACCGACCAAGTCTTACATTGCCTGTTCAGTTTTCTTTTCAGTTTACAGATGTACAAGGGTAAAATAGGAATTACATTAATATTACTAATACAGCTTCCTTTGGAACATCTGTGAAGTAACTTTGAAAACCTCAAACACTCAAACCACAAATTGTTCAGTACCGTCTGCACTGAAATGCTTTGTAAATATTATACATCAGAAATGCTTCAACTTTTGGCATTGGGGATCAAAAGAAAGAACAGTTTCTTTGATACTGTAGTTTATGATTGAGCTGAAGGATATCACATCTTTAATGATTTGGATGCAAGGCATGTTTTGTTAAAAATAAATGTGTATTGTTTTATTATTGGACCAACAAATCGATTCTCACTCAAAATATTGCTGCATCAAAAAGGTGGTGTCTCTTGTTTATTGTGCCGATTATAATTTATAACTCAATTTAGGATATAAGCCATATTATTTTGAATGTGAATTCAATTCTAGCCCCATCCCACTGACTCCCCATGAAAGGAGATTTAATTAAAAAAATGAGGTACCTAATATTTTTAAAATAATTTACTACATTTTAATTTGACACTTGAGCAAAATTATTAGACTTACATGTGTTTTTTTCAATGCTGTCTGATATATAACCATAAACCATGTAGCTTAGTGGTTACACCCACAAGCAAGAGGACCTGGGTTTGATTCCCTGGCAGGGCGAAAAGTTGGGCAAGTTTCCTTACTCTCTGTGGCTCTTGTTTAGCTATCAATACCTAACAGTAAGTAGAAACCTAATTGATAGTTGATTGGGGATAATAATCCCTTCAAAAATGAATAAAAAAGTAATAAATAATTTGGTCACTCAATCCATAACTCTTTGTGGGACACTGCTGTGTATAATTAGCTGCCACATTTTGCCCACAAAATATACGATCAATTCACTTTACAGTATTTTCTGTGAAGCGCTTTGCGATATAAGGTGCTATATCAAATTCAGGAATTATTATTATTATAATCTATCAAAATATAATGATGGCGTTTTAGATCATGAGCTAAATTTGTGGTTCCTTGTGCCAGCAATGGCATTTTGTTATGCCAGATATTTAAAATGCAAAGGTTACATATCATAACTACCGTAAGAACCATCAAGGAGTCTGGCATTATGCCTGGCTCCTACGTCACATGCAATTCTCAGTACTATATACAAGTGATAGTTGTCGGTTTATTCAGATATGCCAGTAAAACATTGCTTTCTCATTTCAATAAACCCCTTATGAATTTTACATAAATCAATTTTGTTCCGCGGAAATGCTCGCTGTCAACACAAAAAAGGTGAATGCTGCAATGGCGTGACTTTGCAAATTTAGATTTTGCAGATCTGCATTTTCTAAAGGCCGACCTAGAGTCCCTTTGAAATAATAGTCCATAATCTTTAGTATTGTACCTTTTCACGTTGGGGGGATGTCCTAAAGCACTTCATGAGATATACTGTAAGGAATAATCATTCCCTTCATTCACCAACAAAATATACAGTAAAATTATTTTTTTGAAGTGCAAAAGTATGGTAATTTTTGCTGAAAATTCTTTCAGCATTG